ACTATTGTGAATAATGCTGCTATAAACATTTATGTACAAGTCTCTGTGTGGCATATGTTTTCATTTCTCTTAGATATATACCTATAGGTGGAATTGCTAGGTCATATGGTAATTCTGTGTTTAGCTTTTTGAGGACCTGCCTGATGGTTTTCCCCAGCAGCTGCACCATTTTTTACGTTACCATCAGCAACATACAAGAGTACTAATTCCTGCAGTTTTAGCTGTTAGATTTTGGTCGTTGATCCATTTTGAGTTAATTTTTGTGTATGGAGTGAGGTAGGGGTCCAACTTCATTCTTTTACACTTGGTTATTCACTTGTCCCAGCACCACTTGTTGACGAAACTGTTCTTTCCCCATTGAATGGTCTTGGCACTCTTGTCGAAAATCAATTGACCATAGATATTTGGGTTTATTTCTGGACTCTCAATTCTAGTCCACTGATCTATCGTAAGGGTATACGTATATCCTTATGCTACTGCCACACTGGTTTGATTACTGTATAAAGTTTTGATGATTAAGTTTTAAAATCAGGAAGTATGAATCTTCTAACTTTGTTTTTCTTTTTCAATATTGTTTTGGCTCTTCAGGGCCTCTTGCAGTTCTGTATGAATTTGAGGATTAGTTTTTCTGTTTCTTCGGAAAAGGCCATTGGAATCTTGATGGAAATTGCTTTGAATCAGTACTCTTCTTTGGGGAGTGCTGCCATCTTAACAATGTTAAATCTCCCTATCTATGAACATGGGATGTCTTTCCATTTATTTAGGTCTTTAATTTCTTTCAGCAATGTTTTGTAGTTTTTAGTATACAAGTGTTTCACCTCCTTAGTTAAATTTATTCCTTAGTATTTTATTCTTTGGGATGCTATGTATTAGTCTGCTCCGGCTGCCATAACAAAATACCACAGACTGGTTGCCTTAAACAATAGAAATTTATTTTCTCACAATTCTGGAGCCTGGAAGTCTGAGACCAGGGTGCCAGTATGGTTGGTTTCTGGTGAGAGCTCTCTTCCTGGCTTGTAGACAGCTGCCTTTTCCCTGTGACCTCACATGGCCTTTTCTTGGTGTGTATGTGCAGAGAGAGACAGACAGAGACAGAGACAGAGAGAGAGAACATGCTCTCTGATGTCTCTTCTCATGAGGACACTAATCCTATTGGATCAGGGCCCCACTCTTATTTAATCTTAATTGCTCATTTAATCTTAATTACTTCCTTAGAGGTCCCATCTCTAAATACAACCACACTGGGGGCTAATACTTCAGCATAAGAATTTTGGGGAGACGCAAACATTTGGTCCATAATAGATGCTGTTGTAAGTAAGATTATTTTCTTAATTTCCTTTTTAGATTATACATCCAGGCTTTTAAAACTAATGCCCACCCCAGTGGAGCCACTGTTACCAGTTTCCTATGTACCTTCGTCCTCACCTCCTTTCTGTGTCTGTCTCTGGTTCTGTCTCATATATTCTCTGCATTGTCTGCAACTTTTTTCATCACTTGATTCATTAACTGCCAAATATTCATGAAGTGTCTATAATGTGCCTGGCAGTGTGTCAAGCAATAGGAGAGGTAATGAAGAAGTATGACCTGGCTCTTTCGCTCGAAGATTTTCAATCTAGTTGAAGAGACAAAACATCTGCAAAATAGTTAGGGGACAATTTATGGGCATAGGTCATCAAATTCCCCACTGTATGGCCCATGCCCTGGGATGCAAACTCTCTAAGGGTAGGTCTTCTCTGCTGTGCTCGCAGCTATACCCCACCCCCTGAATCAGTAAAGGAGAAACAGGATGTGAGCTCAATAAGTGAATGTTGAATGAATTCAACACTCTCCATCTTTGGAGTCTTACCTGATGGAAACTGCCCCTCCCATTCATCCTGGAAGATGATTCCCGGGGCACTCTGTTCTGCAAAGTGGTACATAGATAGGACCTATGTGAGAACCTTGGGGCTCTCTAACTGGCTCAGGTTACAGCCTAATAGTAGGCTCGCAGACACAGCACACATCTCTCAGCAAGTATTCTGGTGTCTTTCTAAAATAAGTTCTTATATAAATAGATCCTTGTTAAGTTTCACCAGGTAAACTAACTGAGAAGAGGAATACGGAGGAGGAGGGAAGAAAGCCTGGCCTGGGCAAAGGGGAAAATGTCCCAGAAACCCCCAGTCTGAGCCGGGAAGCAGTGCCAGAGGCTTTTCTCTGATTCTGAGATCATGATAGAAAATTTGAAAAACAAATTACAATATAAAGAAGAAATTAACTATATATAAACCATGCCTCAGAGATAACCACTCTTTGCATTTTTATAAAAACATTACATGTAATTTTACTTGAACTTAGCAGAAGGAAAAGAAATCAAACTTCAGATAAACATTTCTTCAAAATGAGATATTTTTTAAACAGAGTCCTCTAAAATTAAAGAATTGAAAGACATATTAAAGGGTTGGGGTTATTGCAGAGGTTCTCAACCTCGGGGCATTTTGGCAATATCTGGAGATATTTTTGATTGTCACAACTTGGGGGGCCGGGTGGTGCTAGAGGATAAAGGCCCAGGATGCTGCTAAACCTCCTACCATGCACAGGACTGTCCACCGCAACAGAGATTTCTCTAGCCCCAAATGTCAACAGTAATGAGAAACCCTGGGTTATCTCGTAGTTGTGATGGTTTTAAATAGCCCATATTTTTAAAGGGCTTAAGTGCGTTTCTAGTTAGTAAGATATCTTATTTAGCCCCCCTTTCTTGGGCAAAAGATACCATGCTTTTTCATTTAAAAACTTATCTTGGCTAGCTATCTATCTATCTTTCCGTATTAGTACACAAGGAGCTGCTTCATCCTCTTTTTTTTTTTTCTTCCAATGAAGATAATCAATGAGAAAATTCTTTCTTTTTTTTTAACGATTGGCACCTGAGCTAACACCTGTTGCCAATCTTCTTCTTTTTCCCTTCTTCTTCTTCTCCCCAAAGCCCCCCAGTACATAGTTATATATTCTAGTTGTAGGTCCTTCTGGTTGTGCCATGTGGGACATCGCCTCAGCGTGGCTTGATGAGCGGTGCTAGGTCTGTGCCTAGCATCCAAACTGGAGAAACCCTGGGCCACCGAAGCAGAGCACGTGAACTTAACCACTCGGCCACGAGGCTGGCCCCTCATCTTCTTTTTAAAGGTGATCCAGTATTCCATTATGTAGATGTCTAGACTTTGTTTTTAAATGTGTTTGTAATTCTTATAAATATTAGCAAATTGTCCTCCGTGTGAGGTTGTGTCGATTTAGACCCCCACGTGCAGTGTATGAATATGTCTGTTTCTCCCCAGGAATCACTGTAGTTTACAATCAGCTGTTCAAGTCATACCACGCTGATAGGCATTACCGAGAGGTGGAAGTGGGAAACCAGCCTAATGGATGTTAGGGATTTGTCGAGGCTGTCTTCCCAGGAACGGGCAGAATCAGCAGTTAATTCAGGGTGGATTCTGGGCAATTGGGTAATATATTGAAGGCAATCGTGTTGCATTGATCCAGGAGAATCTAGTTTTTAATGCCAGGAGTAAGACTGGCATTTTTCTTGACTATGGGTCGGATGAGGTTTCCTCCTGTGAGTTGAATGATAGATCTCTTCTCCATAATTTTAATATCTCTTTTACAGTGGCTCTTTGGCCTAATTTCTATTCTAGAGCGGATTATGATCCTGTTAAATTCTCTTCAGTAACAGATTATGAAAGATGAAGTACCTGGGAAACCAGTATGTTTCATTTTCTTTCAGTTTTGTGGGTTTAACTTAGCCAGTAAATTTGGTCTTAGTATTTGTGGGTTCTTTTAAGTTTTAACCCCCAAAACCAAAATATATTTTCTCCCTCATTTTCAGCAACTATAAAAACATTGTAGCAATACCAATTTCAGAGATGCTAGTGGTATCGGTTGTCAAGTGCTTTGGAAATTCTAAGATAAAATATTTGAGAATTATGTTATTTAACACAGCTAATAGTTTTTAATTAAAAAAAAAAATTCGGAGCCAGCCCCGTGGCCAAGTGGTTAAGTTCACGCCCTCTGCTTCGGCGGCCCAGGGTTTTGCCACTTCAGATCCTTGGTGCAGACATGGCACCGCTCATTGGGCCATGATGAGGCGGTGTCCCACATGCCACAACTAGAAGGACCCACAACTAAAACATGCAGCTATGTATGGGGGGATTTGGGGAGAAAAAGCAGAAAAAAAAAAAGAAGATTGGCAACAGCTGTTACGTCAGGTGCCAATCTTTAAAAAAAAAAAAATTCATACCCCAGGGGCCGGCCCCATGGCGTAGTGGTTAAGTTCGGTATGCTCTGCTTCGGCGGCCTGGGTTCATGGGTTTGGATCCTGGGTGCAGACCCACGCCACTTGTCAGCCATACTGTGGCAGCGACCCACATATAAAAGAGTTGAGGAAGATTGGCACAGATGTTAGCTCAGGGCTAATCTTCCTCAGGGGGAAAAAAAATTTATACTGCATAGCTTACTTCCTTTTTGGATCTTGACTTTCTCATCCAGCTTCTTGTTTTTCCTGGAGGTTCTAATTGTGTTTCCTTATTCTTGTTGACTATGTGAGATATTCGTCATCTCGTTGACAGCAAGCTGCAGTAGATGTAAATGTTTCTATGAAGGAGCCATAGGCATTCTACTAGACTGCAAAAGAGCTCAGTTTCCCTAAAATCCTGGCCTCCAAATATCTTCACCTCAACTTTCTTCAGTCTGCCGCATATTCCACTTTTCCAAAATCTCATTCCTCCAACGACCTCAGTTCCGCCAGGTTCCCCAGACACTCATCGCTCTCAATATTCTAACTCCTGTGTGTCCATTTTTCCCAGCATTCTCCTTTGGAACTGCAGGCCATGCCAGTGCCTCCCTCCTGCACTATGTGCTTGTGCCCAGCCTGCTTGCTCTGCTGTGGCCATCAGACACTCCCCCGTGCCATCTCCCCTCCCAGAAGGGCTTGCCTGACTGAGCCGTGGTTATTCAGCTTTGATTGACCTCCACAGGTGCTGAACAAGGCCAAGTATGGTCCAATATGGATAACTCACCTAGGGCTTCGAAGCTACATTAACCTGGCCAGTGCCCCGCTCCTGGAGCAAGTGATGCGGCAAGAGGGCAAGTACCCAGTACGTGACTACATGGAACTGTGGAAGGCGCACCGGGATCTGCATGGGCTGGCCTATGGGCCCTTCACCACGTGAGCTGGGGCCTGAAGGGACTGGAACAGGGCCCCAGAGGGTCAAGCCCAAGCACAGTGGCCCTGGGTAGCCAGTGGGTAGTGGGTAGAGTAGGATCTCCCTGCCTCCTCTAAGCCTGATACTTAGTCTCGAAAGCAGTGGTTGGGATGGGCTGAAGCCCAGAGAGCATTCATTGGCTTTTCCATGAATACATTGTGTGACTTTGGACGAATGAATGATTTCCCCCTCCTTGGCCTTACGTTTCTCACACGTAAAATGGGAATTTTGGACTGGAGTATCTCCAAGGTATCGCTAGGACCTTTTCACCTCCATTATTCTACAATATGATTGACAATATACCAACTCAAATCATAAAGGGACATCTCTGTTTATAGTTGAAAAAAATATCGTCACTGTATTAGATGGGAGGGCTCAGTTTAATTTTTAAAAAATAGTTCCCAAATTATGTATTCTATTCTTGTTGTTGGATATAACTTCCGTGGATGCTCTCCACACACAGAGATGGATGTAGGTTTCAGCTTTGAAGTTATACCTAGAAAAATTACGATGATATTGGCAGCGCCATTTGAGATCAGTAATTGGGCATCATTGGCAATAAACCATTCCTAATGCCACAGTTTGTAGCTGGATGTATTATAGGCTTCTTTTTGCTGGAGTTTGTTAACAGAGCTCCCCAAACAATGAGTAGCTATTTATAGTCTCTGGTTGCTTGACTTCCATGTTGTAGTCACTCAAGAGATTAAAGTAGACTCTGGTGGTGGTAACAATGGTAATCATGAACCACGTGCTTATGACATGGCAGGCAATAGGCTAGTCTCTTTACATCTATTGTTTCATTTTATCCTCACAAGTCATCCATGAAGTAGTGATGATTACTATCCCCATTTTATAGACGAAGAAACTGAGGCCTAGAGAGTTTTTGCGTTACTTACCAGAGATGACACAGCTAGCAAGTGGTGGTATAGATCTCTCTGATTCTGGAATTCAAGAACTTATTGCCTTGATGCTTTTGGAAAGAAAACACACTCTTCTGGAATGTTCATCTCATCTTTTTTTTTTTTTTTTTTTTTTTGAGGAAGATTAGCCCTGAGCTAACTACTACCAATCTTCCTCTTTTTGCTGAGGAAGACTGGCCCTGAGCTAACATCCATGCCCATCTTCCTCTACCTTATACATGGGACGCCTACCCCAGCATGGCGTTTGCCAATCAGTGCCATGTCTGCACCTAGGATCCGAACTGGCGAACCCCAGGCTGCTGAGAAGCAGAACGTGTGCACTTAACCGCTGCGCCACCGGGCCGGCCCCCATCTCATCTGTCTTTGATCACTGTACATTCTTTCTCCCATTGCATGTTTTTCTTTCTTTTTCCTGGCTCCTTCACAGTTTCAGAACTTAAACAACAATTCCTGGGCCCTTTACTCAAAGTTCTGGAGAGATAATAGAGAATGTCTGTCTTTCAAGAGCTCTTTAACTTCCCATCTGACCTTGACGGCAAGATTTGGGTGCAAGTTTTCGTCAGGTCAGCGCATGCACATCTGGCCTTGATGACTCAGATTTAAGATCAGAGCTGAAAAATATGTCCATCCTTGGTGATCTGTTTACTCTCTTTTCCTCTAAAATCAGTTGCCTAAATATATGATACCATGTGTACGTATTTAAAAGCTATTTTGCTAATCTACAAATGGCTTTTTTGTTTTAACATATATATTTTTTAAAATCTTATTTTATGAAGCATGGTTCCCCAAGAAATGTTTCAACAACCACAGAAAAGCCCTCATTTCAGTTCTGCAAATCGGATTTCTGCTGTTGGGAGAGTTTTCCTCTTGGAGAAGCACCTACAGCCCGAAGTTCCTATAAATGGGTCCTTTCTGGTTTCATCTCTTTTTCAACAACACTTTTACTTTATCTTTTTGCAAGTTTTCCCCAACATATTAAAGAAAACTTCTGGGGTTTGAGGTTCATTTAAATAAATGATTTTTTAAAAATAAAAAATCTGATTCTTTTTTTTTTCCTGCTTTATCTCCCCAAACCCCCCTGTACACAGTTGTATATCTTAGTTGCCGGTTCTTCTAGTTGTGGGATGTGGGATGCCACCTCAACGTGGCCTGACAAGCGGTGCCATGTCCGCGCCCAGGATCTGAACCCTGGGCCACCGCAGCAGAGTGCGCGAACTTAACCACTCAGCCACGGAGCCTGCCCCAAAAATCTGATTCTTGACTTAAGACTTTTTAATGTTTTTTTCTTTTTAAAATACCTTATTGGTTTTTAAAATTCTAAAGTCATACTTAGGGTAAAAATGCCAATAATAGGAAGGGGTGGAGCAAAATGGCGGGGTGAGCTTACCCGGGATTCTCTCCCCTCCAAAATACAACAAAAGATCAGAAGAACTGAATTTCAGAGAATAAACATAATGCCAGCTTGTCAGAGACCTACAATACCAAGAAGGCGGAGATCATAAACCTAGCTTTACCCCTTCGGAGGCGCTGGAACGGTAGGAGAGAACATCGCTCCCTCCCCTAGAGTCTGCGATCACTGCTGCGCGGGTTGGGAAGGAGCGGGGGAGGGGCCGCGCAACGGGGATCATCCAGGACTCCTGCCGCTGATTCAGTGGAGACCCGCTGACGGGGGGAAAACTTCCATCCGCGAGGACCCCATAAATCAAGGGCCTTGGGAGACCAGAGAACAGAACTGATCTGAACCCAGACCATCGCGTGTGAGTAACAGCCCCTCCGCCCAGCAAAGCCAGTGGGCGCAGCCATCTTGACCCAAGGCGGAGAGCTAACACGCGGCTCTCGACCCCCATCTAGTGGTGACAGGCTGTAATTGCAACTGAGTTCTACCACCATGAGAAAAAAACCGCTCCTCTACCATCCAGCAATTTATAAAAGCCCCAGACCAGAAGGAAAATAATAAAAGCATAGAATTAAGTCCTGAGGACTTGGAAGTAGGTAAACTAAGTGATAATGAGTTCAGAGCAGCTATAATAAAAAAACTCAATGAGGTAGAGAGAAAGATAGAGAAACAAGCCGAGTTCTGGAGTTACTTCACAAAAGAGATTGAAATCATAAAGAAGAATCAAACAGAATTACTTGAGATGAAAAACACAATGGACCAGATAAAACAGAATACGGATTCCTTGAATGCCCGTGTAGACAACATAGAGGAGAAAATTAGCATAATCGAAGATAGACAGGCTGAATGGCGCCAGACAGAGGAAGAAAGAGAACTAAGAATTAAAAAAAAATGAGGAAAATCTCCGAGAGATAATGGATTCAATGAGGAGTAAGAACATAAGGATCATAGGAATTCCCGAGAATATGGAAAAGGAAAATGGAGCAGAAAGTGTGCTTAATGAAATTATTGAAGAGAACTTCCCAAATCTAGGGATCGACGGAGAAATGCGTGTAGAGGAGGGTTTTAGATCTCCTAGATTTGTCATTGTAAAAAGACCTACTGCAAGGCACATAGTAGTAAAGTTGGCAAAAAGGAAAGATAAGGAAAGAATACTCAGGGAAGTAAGAAAAAAAAAGAGAATAACCTATAAAGGAGCCCCTATCAGACTGTCAGCGGATTTCTCTACAGAAACCTTACAAGCTAGGAGAGAATGGAGTGACATATTCAAAGCTTTAAAGGATAAAAATCTTCAGCCAAGAATACTCTATCCAGCAAGAATTTCCTTCAGATATGAGGGAGAAATTAAATCTTTTCCAGACAAACAAAAGTGAAGGGAATTTGTAACCAAAAGCCCTCCATTACAAGAAATCCTCAAGAAGGCTCTCATACCTGAAAAAAGAAAAAAGGGAGAAAGGGGACACAATCCACAGACTAGGGAGACCGATGGATAGAACCAGAACAGGATAGCAAATATTCAACTATAGCATTAGGGTAAAGGTAAGGAAACTACCAAAACAAGGATGATCTTAGCACTCTAACTACCAATTAATAAGACGAGTTGGAATAAAAAATGAAAATAATTATTTACGAGGGGAAGAGCAAAGGGTCTAAATCAGTATTGGTCAAGTAAGTAAGAGACCACCAGAGAATAGACTATATTATACACAAGATTCTAAATACAAACTTCAAGGTAGACACTAAAATAAAGTACAGAACAGAGTCACAAATCACAAATAAGGAAAAATCTAAGAAACCCAGCATAAGAAATTGCAGTATTAAATGGGTAGTCTAAAGCAAACAGGAAAAGAAACGCAGGAAAACAAGATAATGAGCGACAGATTAACAGCATCAATAATCACTCTCAATGTGAACGGATTGAACTCTCCAATAAAAAGACACAGAGTGGCAAAATGGATTAAAGAACACGATCCAACAATTTGTTGCCTCCAGGAAACACACCTCAGCCCCAAGGACAAACACAGACTCAGGGTGAAGGGGTGGAGGACAATACTTCAAGCAAATAGCAAGGAAAAAAAGGCAGGTGTTGCAATTCTCATACCAGACCAAGTGGATTTCAAAATAAGACAGGTAAAGAGAGACACAGAGGGACAATATATAATGATCAAAGGGACACTTCATCAAGAAGAAATAACGCTTATAAATATCTATGCACCCAACACAGGAGCACCAAGATTCATAAAGCAACTATTAACAGACCTAAAGGAAGACGTTAAAAACAACACAATAACAGTAGGGGACCTCCACACCCCACTCACATCAATGGACAGATCATCCAGACAGAAAATCAACAAGGAAATAGTGGAGCTGAATGAAAAACTAAAACAATTGGACTTAATAGACATATATAGATCACTTCACCCTGAAAGAGCTGAATACACATTCTTCTCAAGTGCACGTGGAACATTCTCTAGGATAGACCATATGTTGGGAAACAAGGCAAGCCTCTACAAATTTAAAAAAATTGAAATAATAACAAGCATCTTCTCAGATCATAGTGCTATAAGGCTAGAAATTAATTACAAGAAAAAAGCTGAGAAAGGCACAAAGATGTGGAGACTAAACAACACACTACTGAACAAGCAATGGATCATTGAAAAAATTAAAGAAGAAATAAAAAAATACCTGGAAACAAATGAAAATGATAGCATGCCATACCAACTCATATGGGATACAGCAAAAGCTGTATTAAGAGGAAAATTCATCGCAATACAGGCACATCTTAACAAACAAGAAAAATCCCAAATAAGCAACCTTAAAGCACACCTAACTGAACTAGAGAAAAAAGAACAAATGAAGCCCAAAGTCAGCAGAAGGAGAGAAATAATAAAAATCAGAGCAGAAACAAATACTATTGAAACGAAAAAGGCAGTAGAAAGGATCAATGAGACAAAGAGCTGGTTTTTTGAGAAGATAAATAAAATTGACAAACCACTAGCCAGACTTACAAAGAAAAAAAGGGAGAAAGCTCAAATAAACAAAATCAGAAATGAGCGAGGAGAAATAACAACAGACTCTGCAGAAATACAACAGATTATAAGAGAATACTACAAAAAACTATATGCCAACAGAATGGATAACCTAGAGGAAATGGATAAATTCTTGGACTCCTACAATCTCCCAAAGCTCACTCAAGAAGAGGCAGACAATTTGAACAGACCAATCACAAGGAAAGAGATTGAAACCGCAATCAAAAACATCCCAAAGAATAAAACCCCAGGACCAGATGGCTTTCCTGGGGAATTCTACCAAACTTTCAGAGAGGATTTAATACCTATCCTTTTCAAGCTATTCCAAAAAATTGGGGACGATGGAACACTTCCTAACACATTCTATGAGGCCAACGTCACGCTGATACCAAAACCTGACAAGGACACCATGAAAAAAGAGAACTACAGGCCAATATCACTGATGAACATAGAGGCAAAAATTCTAAACAAAATTTTGGCAACCAGACTTCAGCAATTCATCAAAAGAATCATACATCATGATCAGGTGGGATTCATACCAGGGACACAGGGATGGTTCAACATCCACAAATCAATCAACGTGATACACCACATCAACAAACTGAGGAATAAAAACCACATGATCATCTCAATAGATGCAGAGAAGGCATTTGACAAGATCCAACAGCCATTTATGATAAAAACTCTGAACAAAATGTGCATAGAAGGAAACTACCTGAACATAATAAAGGCCATATACGACAAACCCATAGCCAACATCATACTCAATGGGCAAAAACAGAACGCCATCCCCCTGAAAACAGGAACGAGACAAGGATGCCCTCTATCACCACTCTTATTTAACATAGTACTGGAGGTCCTGGCCAGAGCAATCAGGCAAGAAAAAGGAATAAAAGGAATCCAAATAGGGAGGGAAGAAGTGAAACTCTCGCTGTTTGCAGACGACGTGATCTTATATATAGAAAACCCCAAAGAATCCATTGGAAAACCGTTAGAAGTAATCAACAACTACAGCAAAGTTGCAGAGTATAAAATCAATTTGCATAAATCAGTAGCATTTCTATACTCCAGTAATGAACCAACAGAAAAAGAACTCAAGAATACAATACCATTCACAATCGCAACAAAAAAGAATAAAATACCTTGGGGTAAATTTAACTAAGGAAGTGAAGGACCTATATAATGAAAATTACAAGGCCTTTCTGAGAGAATTGGATGACAACATAAGGAGATGGAAAGACATTCCATGTACATGGATTGGAAGAATTAAACATAGTTAAAATGTCCGTTCTACCTAAAGCAATCTACAGATTCAACACCATCCCAGTCAGAATCCCAGTGACATTCTTTACAGAATTAGAACAAAGAATCCTAAAATTCATATGGGGCAACAAAAGACCCCGAATTTCTAAAGCAATCCTGAGAAAAAAGAACAAAACGGGAGGCATCACAATCCCTGACTTCAAAACATACTACAAAGCTACAGTAATCAAAACAGCATGGTACTGGTACAAAAACAGGTGCACAGATCAATGGAACAGAATTGAAAGCCCAGAAATAAAACCACACATCTATGGACAGCTTATCTTTGACAAAGGAGCTGAGGGCATACAATGGAGAAAACAAAGTCTTTTCAACAAATGGTGCTGGGAAAACTGGAAAGCCACATGTAAAAGAATGAAAATTGACCATTCTTTTTCACCATTCACTAAAATAAACTCAAAATGGATCAAAGACCTAAAGGTGAGACCTGAAACCATAAGGCTTCTGGAAGAAAACGTAGGCAGTACACTCTACGACATCAGTACTAAAAGGATCTTTTCGGACACCATGCCTTCTCAGAGAAGGGAAACAATAGAAAGAATAAACAAATGGGACTTCATCAGATTAAAGAGCTTCTTCAAGGCAAATGAAAACAGGACTGAAACAAAAAAACAACCCACTAACTGGGAAAAAATATTTGCAAGTCATATATCTGACAAAGGCTTAATATCGATAATATATAAAGAACTCTCGCAACTCAACAACAAAACATCAAACAACCCAATCAAAAAATGGCCTGGAGACATGAACAGACATTTCTCCAAAGAAGATATACTGATGGCCAATAGGCACATGAAAAGATGCTCACCATCGCTGATCATCAGGGAAATGCAAATCAAAACTACACTAAGATATCACCTTACACCCGTTAGAATGACAAAAATATCTAAAACTAATAGCAACAAATGTTGGAGAGGTTGTGGAGAAAAAGGAACCCTCATACACTGCTGGTGGGAATGCAAACTGGTGCAGCCACTATGGAAAACAGGATGGAGATTCCTCAAAAAATTAAAAATAGAACTACCATACGATCCAGCCATCCCACTACTGGGTATTTATCCAAAGAGCTTGAAGTCAGCAATCCCAAAAGTCCTATGCACCCCAATGTTTATTGCAGCACTGTTTACAATAGCCAAGACGTGGAAGCAACCTAAGTGCCCATCAACAGACGAATGGATAAAGAAGATGTGGTACATATATACAATGGAATACTACTCAGCTGCAAAACAGAACAAAATCATTCCATTTGCAATAACATGGATGGACCTTGAGGGAATTATGTTAAGTGAAATAAGCCAGCGAGAGAAGGATAATCTGTGTATGACTCCACTCATATGAGGAATTTAAAATTATGGACTAAGAACAGTTTAGTGGATACCAGGGGAAAGGTGGGGTGGGGGCTGGGCACAAAGGGTGAAGGGGTGCACCTACAACACGACTGACAAACATTAATGTACAACTGAAATTTCACAAGATTGTGACCTATCAATAACTCAATAAAAAAAATGCCAATAATAAAATATTGTTTCCCTACCCCCAAATCCCATCCCATCCCCCTAATAGTCTGGTGTGAATTCTTCCCTACTTTACGTAAAAATATACATATGGATATGTAGGGTTTCCTCTTAAAATTGGACCAAATTGTACTTATTACTCTGCAAATAATTTTTAAAAAATTGACACATACTCAGCTTGCTTAGGAAAGGTCAAAGGTTTGGGGGACAGCTGAGTGTGGTGACAGCCCCTTAACTTGAAGCTTCCTTATGGGAAGCATGTTCCCATTCACACGAGCATCCTTGCCTAACCAGGGTGGGGACCCAATTACTGCTGAATGGCCATGGCAAGAGGACCTGGGGCATCGCCTGCTGGGTCTCCCTGTCTCCTTGGCCCACTGAGCCAAGGAGAGCCTGAAGGGCCAGAGTCTGAGCACCTCAGGAACCCTAATTTGCTTCTCCTTTATTCCTTGTCCTCCACGCAGACGGACTAGGACCACTGCAGCTCCTCCTCAGGTCACATCCAGAAGGTTCTTGAGTTGTATCATCCTCAGATAATCGTAGTCAACATTCAAGCATTCACTACATGCCAGGCTACTGATCTAAGCACTTCAGTTATCTGGACAACCCTACTAAGATAGTCACTCTTATTATTCCCATTTTACAGGAGGGGAAACTGAGGCACAGAGGAGTTAAGTCACCTGCCTGTGGTCACTCAGCCCGTAATCATCAGACCTGTGATTTGACCCTCGGCAGTCTGGTTCTAGACGCCCACCTTGACCACTGCCACTCTCCTGTAGTGAGATTCTGAAGTTTTGTGTCATTTGAAAGTTTGGTGATTCTGTAATTCTAAATCCAGGAGTCTGTGGTTTTCCTAGACTTGGTAGGGGCCTCAGGGTGGGAAGGTACCATGGAATCTACCCCCATCAGATACTTATGTTTGGGTTGCTCCTCCATTCTCCGCAGGGAAGGAGAGTCCTGGTACCGGCTGCGCCAGGCTCTGAACCAGCGGCTACTGAAGCCAACTGAGGCTGCGCTCTACACGGATGCTCTGAACGAGGTGATCGATGACTTCATGGTTCGACTGAGCCAGTTGCGGGCGGAGAGTGCCTCGGGGGACCAGGTGCCTGACATCGCTCACCATTTCTACCACTTTGCCTTGGAAGGTACCCTTGCTGGGAGAGGGGCCAGGGTGGGTGGGCATGGCTCAGGGGTAGGTGGTGCTCCCCCTCCTCAAAACCCCCTGGATTCTGTGTGCCATGGCACCGCCTCCTGTGATGGCCTCTGTGCACCGCCAGCTATTTCCTACATCCTGTTTGAGAAACGTATTGGCTGCTTGGAGCGCTCCATCCCCCAGGACACCAGGACCTTCATCAGATCTATCGATCTCATGTTCAAGAACTCAGTCTATAGCACCATCCTCCCCAAGTGGACCCGTTCTGTGCTCCCTTTCTGGAAGCGATACCTGGATGGCTGGAACACCATCTTCTCTTTTGGTGAGGAGTCCAGGGAAGGAAGTTGGGGGGCGGTCCCAGGGTCCTGCATTAGCAGCCTTTCCTAGGACCTGCTCATGCTCCCCGCTGTTGGAGTTGCTCTCTGTCCTCGGAGATCATGACTTTTGGCCTTATCCTCTCCTGTTCTCCATGGTCCCTGTAGGGAAGAAGCTGATTGATCAGAAACTCGAGGAAATAGAGGCCCAGCTGCAGACAGGGGGCCCAGATGGGGTCCAGATATCTGGCTACCTGCATTTCCTGCTGACCAGCGGACAGCTCAGTCCTCATGAGGCCATGGGCAGCCTGCCTGAGCTGCTCCTGGCTGGAGTAGACACGGTGGGTGAGGGGGGCCAGCGAGGAGACCAGGGACTCCCAGCTCCCATCCTGAACCAATTCCCCATTATCCCCCACCTGAGCCTGATCTTCGTCCCTCCAGGTACCTACTTCTCTTTCCGTAACATGGGTGTAGAGCTAGAAGGAAAATGGGGTCATTCGGCCCGGTGGAGGTGGGCAGGGGATGGTCCTTTCTTAAGAGGGAACCCATCACCTCCTGGAGCCTCCCTGGAATGGCTGAGAAGTTTCACCTCACATCTAATATGACTTTCTCGTGCTGTGTTTAAGTGGAGAGTTGAAGAGCTTGCCCACAAGCATCTTCTTTGTAGGACCTCTTCCTAGCCCTATTGTCGTGTTGGGTTTCCCTCTCTGTTAGTCTCCTCTGTTGCTAGAGTGTGGTTCTCCATCATGTTGGTCCTCCCTCCCACTGTGGAGTCACGTTTAGCATGGGGGACCCCATGAACTCCTGTGTTGTATTCTGCCATACTCGTGGCAAATTAATTTTTCTCCCACATTTTGCGCACGTCCACTCCCCCACCCTCCCGCTACCATCCTGACCTTTTTCCTAGAAATCCCTCCTCACTTCGTCTCTCACTCGACCTCCCAGACATCCAACACGCTGACGTGGGCCCTGTACCACCTTTCAAAGCACCCAGAGATCCAGGCGGCCTTGCACAAGGAGGTGATGGGCGTGGTGCCAGCTGGGCAGGTGCCTCAGCACAAGGACTTTGCTCACATGCCCCTGCTCAAAGCTGTACTTAAGGAGACCCTGCGGTAGGCTGCTGTTGCCGGGGGCACAGAGTCTGTGTGGGGGAGTACTCAGATACACGAGTGGGAAGTGGGCACTGGTGGGTTGGGGCTAGGGCCGGGATGAGATGGGAAGAGGGGCCTGGGGGACCAGAGAGGTGGGGTCGAACGGGAGGGCCTTCTGCACCTTCTTGGATCCAGGGCAAATTGCACTTTCTTTCCCCTGTAGCCTCTACCCTGTGGTCCCCGTGAACTCCCGGGTCATCACGGAAAAGGAAATTGAAGTTGGTGGCTTCTTCTTCCCCAAGAATGTGAGTGGGACTGGAGAGCCGGGGTCCCAGGGATGCCCCGCAGCCCTAAACTCATGTGCTGCCCGTTCTTCCCCTGCAGACCCAGTTTGTGCTGTGCCACTATGTGGCGTCCCGGGACCCTAGCATCTTCCCTGAGCCGGAGAGCTTCCGGCCTGAACGCTGGCTGAGGAAGAGCCAGACTGATACCCTCAGGGTCCAACACCCGTTTGGCTCTGTGCCCTTCGGCTATGGGGTCCGAGCTTGCCTGGGCCGCAGGATCGCAGAGCTGGAGATGCAGCTGCTGCTGACAAGGGTGAGTGGGGAAAGGTGGGAGGGTTGTGTGGGCCAGAGAGGGCTGAAGGAGGCCATGAGGAGGAATGAAGGGAGGCACAGGGTGGGAGCGTGCAGAGGAGGGCAGTGGATGGGGATCAACAGACTCTAACCACTCCGTCTCTGCGTTTTACCTCCCAGCTGATCCAGCAGTACGAGGTGGCCCTGGCCCCTGAGACGGGGGAGGTGAAGAGCATGGCCCGCGTCGTCCTGGTTCCCAGTAAGAAGGTGGGCCTGCGTTTCCTGCAGAGACAGTGCTGAGCTGGCCCCCTCCTCTCCCTCCCTGGCACAGAAATTCCTGGCTACTGCTGTGTCTCAGATGAGGAGAGAGAGAAAGGGGCTGCCAGATGCCAAAGGCTGGAGCACAGAACACTGAGCTCCTGCAACTTTTATCATGTTGAGTGTCTCCTTCTTAGATAAAAGGCCATCCCCTTGTCACATTGCTATGCTTGAGGAAAATATAGAATAAAGGGGCTTTTATTGATGACTGGAGACCTTTGTCATTCTTTTTGATGACCCAGCATCTGAACCCCTTTCTGTGTTTGGAGAACACCCTCTCCCCACTCAGGAGTCTTGGTGGGATGCAGAGCTGCCTCACTCCATGGAAGCCGAGAACACTGCATGCCTTCCCAGACCTTGCAAAGAGGCCTTAGCTGCACTTGACGTTGGCGGAGGTCCCGCAGGAGCAAGAGCTGCAGAGCGAATTCCTTGTCACTGAGAGTGGCACCTGCTCTTGAACAGAAAGTGCTTAGCTTTAGGCAGTAGAGTACTGTAAAAATTGTTGGAGGAGTTCTAGGCTAGGCCTGCAGCCGTGACTCCTAGCACACCCCAGGGTGCTGACCAGCCTGGGAAGCACCGCGTTGGCCAAGAGGATGAGAGTTGGAAAGCTTTCACTACAACTATTGGCCCTAGTCCTATTCCCTGTCTCCCAGGTCTGTGCTGGCAAAAAAAAACAAAAACAAAAAAAGATGTCCTCTCACTCTGCTCCCTGCTCCTGATGGCAGAAAGAGCTGGAGCAGCAGAAGTGTGGCCCCCTTCCAAATGTCTCTCACCTACAGCCACGAAGGGGAACCCAAGTCCCACCTGGAACTCTAGCTGCAAGGGAGTCTGGGGATTGTAGTTTTTAGCTTTCCAGGCTTTTCAGCACAGGAAGCTGACTAGAGGGAAAGGGACGGGCGTTGAGGTCCAGCGTACCGGTGCACGAGCCTGCAAAGTCAGTGAACCCCAGCCTCAGAGTCCCAGCCCCAGCTGTAAATTTCTTTAGAAAACTAAAGTCAAATTTCTGATGACTGTCGGGATTTGAGTTTGAGCCCATTAAAAAAGTCACGTCATTGCCCTGATTAAAATCTCTCAGTGGCTCCTCTCTGCCCTGAGGCACAGTCCAAAGTCCTTACCGTGGCTTAGAAGACCCCTTGTGGAAGCTTCCAGGTGGGCGAACACATGGCGGGGCTGGGGAGAGTGGGGTGCCTGGAGAGGGCCCCGAAGCTCCGTGCCCTTTCCCCATGCTTTGCCCTACGCATCTCTTCCATCTGGCTCTTCCTGAGTTGGGATCTCAGAGCTATTTTGCGATCGAAGTCTACATATTTGAGCCCTTTCCAAGGGCCTGAATGCGTTCAAAACAAACAAAAACAAACTAGAAACCCCAAAACAGAACAACAACAAAAGACTCTCTGTGTTCTGGCACCCTACCCTCCACACCCCTCATCCTCCCACCAGGACACCCTTCCACAGCTGAGCCCAAAGTCCTTGTATTTCCCCGAGCACATTGCGCTCTTTCCGGCCTCAATACTTTGTACTTAATGTCCCGTCTCCCTGGAACACCATCTTCACCAACTGTTATGTCATCCCAGAGACTTGCTCTTCCTTAGGACTCAGCTCAAATGTCACTGCCTCTGCAAAGCCTTCCCTGACCTCTCTGGGTGTGTGTGAGCACTTCCTCTTGTGCTCTCCTCCATTCCCCCTCCAGAACAAGCACCTCAGCCCGTTCACCCTGCTGTAGGCCCGACTGTGAGACCCCCGCAGGGCACAAATCAAGCTCCTTTCCTTTTGGATCCCAGTGTCTAACTCTGTGTCAGCACCTAGGAGGCGATTAACAAATGTTTGTTGAATGAGAAGAGACTGGAATCGGAGGGAGGGACAGGAAGGAGAGGGGAGGATGTGGAGCTTTCCATGTTGAGAAGAGAAACGTAGAAAGAATTGAGAGGAATTCCTGATGGTGAGGGCACGGCTCTCGACCCCACGCATGCAGGGGCTCACCGATGAGAGCTGCTTATAAAAGCAGAAGCTGGGGGCTGGGCTTGGAGGTGCCAGGAGCTCTGTCACAAAGTCAACCAGAGGGGACTTCTGCCTTTCCCAGTATGCCGCCCCTTCAGACCAGCAGGGGTGAGCTGCCCAAGCCACGTGAGCCCCTCAGGGCTGGCGCTTGGGTAGGGGAGTATGTGTGATGTGGCTTGGGATTGGGGCTTTGTAGTAACTTTCCAGGAGCGTCAGCGTTTGTGTCTGCCGCTCAGTCAGTGAATCGACAGGCTAATCTCACATCAGAATCTATGAAGATCTTGTATATTCATAGGATAGAATATTATTCATCTGTGAAAAAAGAATGAAGTACTGATTCATGCTACATCTTGGATGAACCTTGAAAATGTTATGTCAATAAAGGAAACCAGATACAAAAGACCATGTCTTGGTGGACTCCACTGACGTGAGATGTCCAGAACAGGCAGATCCGTAAAGACGGAATGTAGATTAGTGGTTGCCAGGAGCTGGGGGGAAGGGAGAAAGGGAGAGGTTGTTAATGGAGATGGAATTTCTTTTGGGTGATGAACATGTTCTGGAATTACATAGTGGTGACAGTTGCACAGTTTTGTGAATACACTAAACACCATTGAATTATACGCTTGGAAAGAGTGAGTTTAATGGTATGTGAATTATATCTCAATTGAAGGAAAATCTATGAAGATCAGTTTGATCAGATTATTGTAGAAATAGCTGCCAAGATAAGCCATACTTCCAGAGACACCACAGGAAATTCGGAGGCACTGCCTTGCTGTGCATTTATAGGGCCTAAAATCCAGCCTCCAACCAGAAACCAGAAATGCAGAGCCGAAACGAGCTAAGCAGATAGGTGAAGCAATGGTGTCCTTGTGAGGATTAATTCAAGAGCAGGCTATATTCCTTCACATTTTGATGAGGTGGAGGCAGCGCTTCAGAGGCTCCCTCTGAAAGCTCTTTGCCATCAGGGACAAGAGATAAGATCTGCAGAGCCATTAACACCACTGTGAAACCTGGCTCGCTGAGGCCGCTGCTGGCAAGCCACAGACACCACTCTGGGAAGAAGAGGCTCAGAGACTCCCACCCCAACAGAGAAAAACAAAATACAGCGTGGCCAAAGAGATGTCTCTTTATACTTGAAGTTCTTATTTTTTTTTTAATTTGTGAAAGATTTTTATTGAGATATAATATACCTACAGAAAAATGGATATACTGTAAGTGTACATGAAGTTCTTTTGCTTATCTTGGAGTCGAAATTGACCTCTGTCAGTTTTTATTCTATCGCAATGCCTGGAGAAGACTCATTTAATGTAAATGGAAAAATTCCTTTCTTTGACTGTGATTCCTTGAGACACGTGGACTAGCTACAGGATGGATGTGGTGGAATAGCATAGACTCTCTCCCTTGCAACTTTCTCTCTGGAGGGTAGAAGGCCGCGGCTCTGGTTTGAAGGCTGGCACAGAGACCATCAGTGGCCAGTGATAGGGCACACTTCCAGGAACTCTGGGCTGTTCCTATAAGTCACGGTGAACGGACGTCACAGTGCGGCTCCCTGATAACTCACCCTGACCTGATTCTGTAAGGAAAGAAGAACAGGATTTAAAGGAGCCATTAATTCACCACAGCAGATACACCTTTGACTGAAAAGAATGTGCACATCTCATTACTGCTATTCCAGCTAGCTTGAATTTGGCCAAATGTCCTAATTTGGCCTACCATATTTTTGGGTAAAACTTTAAGAAAACAGCTTGTCTTAAACAATGATGCAGCACTACCGGGAATAAAAACAGAGTGTTTGCTGTTTTCTGGCGGTCTACATGCCCATGTTCTATAGAAGTTTTAGCTCCGAGTGTATTTTGGCTTGATAATATTAGTTTATTTCCAGGTCATCACTTATGATTCCAGTTTTAACATGTGTATCAAATAAAAGCTTGGACAGTTGTAATCGTGGAAGGGGTATACGTGACATTGCACTGAATTCTTCTGTATTTGAGGATGTCTGGGAGAAGAGTAGTGAGAAGCTAACGAATCGTGTGTCTTCTGTGTTCTGTGGTTCCTCTTAGCCAGTGCTTCTTGTAGATCTTAGTCATAATAAGTAGTAGATATGGGGGCTGGCCCCGTGGCCGAGTGGTTAAGTTCGTGCGCTCCGCTGCAGGCGGCCCAGTGTTTCGTTGGTTCGAATCCTGGGCGCGGACATGGCACTGCTCATCAGACCACGCTGAGGCAGCGTCCCACATGCCACAACTAGAAGAACACACAACGAAGAATACACAACTATGTACTGGGGGGCTTTGGGGAGAAAAAGGAAAAAATAAAATCTTAAAAAAAAAAATAATAAGTAGTAGATAAACCCAGTGATTTTACTAATTATGAGAATGAGGCATCCTTAGTTCTCAGCACGCTGTCAGGCTCATCACGCACTATTAATCGTAAAGTCTCTAGTTTCTACAGAAAATAAATGCAGTTGCCCAGGTCCCACGCCTAATCAGGACATTAGCATCCCTAGGGATGGGGCCCCGGAATCTGCATTTTCTGAAGACCTCGGGTGGTCCTGTTGCACATCCACGGTTGAGAACTACTGAGAGGGTTGGGAGAGGAGGGACGGGTTGAGCTAAGGAGTCTGTGGGAGTCCAGCCCCAAGGCCACAGAGCCTTGGAGGGGCCTCGGAGGGGCCTCAGAGGTGGGGGAGGAGTTGGGGACAAGGAGGCAATGATGCTGGGAAGCTTGGGCAGCCCCAAGTTCACGGGTGTGAGCAGAGGGGACAGCAGGGAGGTTTCACACAAGGGTGCGCCTTTCCTCTGAGCTAGCTGCAGTTCCCATGGCAGCTCTCTGCCTCTCCTCTTGCAGCCGTGAAGCTGGAGGGCTGGGTCAGGCGCTGAGGGCTGGCTGTGAGGCAGCGGGGGAGGAGGGCCCCAGGGGGGATCTGCTGGGTCCTTAGATGGCAGGCTCAGAGAGTAGAGACCTATCTGCTCTCATGGGGAACAGGAGGCGGAAGAGTGCCTTCCTCAGGCTGTCCTTTCCTCCTCAAGCCTGTGCTCAGCCCTCCGAAGGTCTGTTCATGCAGCGCCTCAAAACACTGACGGTGCTGCTCTTTCCCTAGAGCCAGACATGGCTGGAGGCAGCCTGCCCCTGGCTCCCCAAGGACTCTGTCCCTGGAGACAGGCCCAGAGAGCACTCCATCCCATCCTCCCACATGAGCCCAAGACATAGGACCTTCCCAGGTGGGGCCAGAGCAGAGCCAGCACGGACCAGCGGGTTACGGCAATAGGGAAACAAGCTGACTGTCCAGGAGAAAACGCCTTTGTTTGCTGCCTGACCTATCGAGCTCCAATGTCTACCCTCTGTGACTCTGTGAGGGAAATGGGGTGGGATTGTGTTTTAGAAATATAACCTACCCCTCCCCACTGGACAGCTAGACCTACAGTGGCCATGGCCACAGGGGAGGGATGAGACAGCAGAAGCCCAGTCTTGCCTTTGGGATTTCAAACGCCTGACCCTCAAGGTGGGTGGCAAGAACTCAGGACACATACAGTGGATTTGGAAGAATATATGATGGCTTAGAGAAAAAGGCCCCCTCTTTCCCGACTGGGTAAAGATTCCAGAGGCTGGTGGGGTTGGGGGAGCTAAGACAGTGTAGACATTTCTGGGGTCCCTGAGAAGGGAGCTGTGTCTGAAGGGAGGCGGGAATATGACAAAAACCCTAGATAGGTTTGGAGATGGTAAGGGCCCCATGTTTCCTGGGTAGAGGCTGGGAAAACCCTGAGGTGCAGAATAGGACAGGCCACCTGCTATCCATCTCAGCAGACGGGACAGTCCCACAGAGCTTCCTGCAGCCCAGAGGGGTGCAGGGCCAGGAGCTAGAATGCCCTCACGCCCCAGGGGCGGGCAGGCCCAAAGAGGCTTCTTGTGAGGGAGGGAGCTCCTAGCGGAGGTCACGCCCACCAATGACCAAGTGACAATCACATGGGAGCAGGGATGTTTTAGCAGGTGCTGGCAAGGACAGATGACGCTGACTGAGGAACAAAGCCTTACACTACTTCAAGCCTGCCCCCCTCACCGAACTTAACCCAAGGAAAAGTGGGAGGGGAACCCCAAACTGACAGATTAATCTCTGCCACCTGATGAAATAAGGTTCATATTCAGCATTGGAAAACTAAAGTTATGTTTCTTATAGATTAGAGTCTGTGAACTGAGTTGTACCTATGATGTAAGTGACTAATTCATATTTTCTTTATGGTCTTGTTATAAATAAAAGATGAAAAAAATTTTGGTGGAACAATACTCTATGAGGAAATGAAAGGCACTGCAGCGTTCGTCAACGAGAGCTTTTCCTTCGTGTCTTTGAATTCAGAAAGCACAGGGATCTTGCCACAAGCTTAGGTCAAACGACTGTACTGTTTTCTGAGTGAAACTTGTAAAAATCTAAGTTCGTGGGCTGTTCTTTTTGTTTTCTCCATCGTACATCCTCAGTGATCAGAATCCAGACCATGCCTGTGGACTGAGAACACTGTTTGCCAGCGAGAGCTAAGGATGAGAATGGAGGGGGACGCCCACTCCAACAGGCAGCTCCAGAAATAACTGCTGTTCCGTGGTGACCCCCAGCAGCCTTGAAATGACAGTGCTGGGAGAGTAGGAGGGCAGTGGCGAAGTTGTGGGGGACCACTAGGGTTGTTTCCATGGGGGAAGAATAGCTGGGACTGCCAGGAGCTGGGCGCATGAGCAGCAGGTAGTCGAGAAGCCAAGGAACCCGGAGTCCCTGACTAACCCACTGGCTGAGGGCTCACTGCCCCACTCGGCCAGTCAGGACCCAGGTTTCGGGAAAGCGATGTGGGTGGGCGTGGAGCAGTCGGCCCTGGGGTAATGCCAGTGCCTCTGGCTCAGGGACCTCCAGGCTGACAGCTGCTCTTAATTTCATCATCCCATGGTGCACTGGGCCTTCCCGAGGGCTTCTGGGAGCACGGGCAGGGCAAGGGCAGTTAGGGAGGGCTGGAGAAGCCTGTGCGGAGGAGAGAAGGGAAGACGTGACTCAGTGGGGAGGGGAGCTACCATTCTAGTAGGGGAACCTCAGTCTTGCCATCCATTGCCACATAGGTGGAATCTGTGCCCCCACCCTTCTGCAAACCCCGGGCAAACTTGCTACCAGAGAAGAGTCTGGGATCATGTCAAATTTACCCAGATGAGGACTTAGATGGAAATTGCCTCTTTTCAGCCTTAGTTCTTACTGAGCATGGAAATTCCATTTGACAAAGCTTTATTAAGTTGCTTCCTTCCAGGGGAATTCCAAGCAGGCAAGAGGCAGGTCAATCTCCCCAGAGCACCTAAGTCACGTCGCTGCCCTGGCCTTCATTCCAGCCCCTGTCCACCCCTCTCATGAGGGCCTCCAGGACCTCAGCTGAGAATGGGACAAAGCGGTGGCCCCACAGGGAGTCCTGACACTTGTTTCCATGGGGCTGCTCAGCTATGAGCTGGGCCACTCCTGTCCTCAGGGTGTCCCAATCTGAGACCTGGGAGCCCAGAAAAATCGAGGGGCTGATGCTGAGGCCAGTAGCCCAGGGCAGAGCCTACCTGAACCAGAGCCGAACCAGCAGATGGGGGTGGGGGGACAGGAAGGCCGGGTGCCTGGCTCCCTGCGTTGGCTTCTGGATGTGGTAGGTGGCTGGGAGTGAGGACTCCGACTTCCTCAGGCACCGAGAGCATCGATGCCAGCAGGGCTGAGCACCAGTGCCTGAAGGATGTCAGAGAGGGACACCACGCCCAGGAGGTGCTGGGTCTCGTCCACCAGCACCAGCCGGTGTACCTGTGGGGTCACAGAGGGTCAGTGATGGGGCAGAGCCATGCGGCTATGGCAGCCAACGAGCCAAGAATCAGAGGCAACAATTCGACATAACTGGGGGAGCAAGGAAGCATCTCCTAGAAACCAGTTAGGGGTGTCTTGAGACTGCTCTGGGGTGATCAGCTGGTGTGGCCCTTGGCATGAGGGCTCCACGGTCAGGACCAGTTGCAGACCACTGTGGACACCAAGAGCTTGGCCATCAAGTGGGAGGGCGGGACAGGTGCCCCGTGTCCAGGGACAGCTGCGGTGGCTCAGGGCTGGGCCATCCGTGCTGGGAGCTGTAAGAAGGGCACAGAGTACCTGCTCTCGGGCAATCCGGTCGATGACCTCCCCCAGGCTTTCGTGGGGCTGGCAGGAAAGGACTCCCTCCAGACACACCGTCCTCTGCCTCAGTGCTTCTCCCACGCTCACGTCCAGGTGGTTGTAGGTTTGCTGGGCAGCCAGGTGCTGGGGCAGGGAGGGAAGTGCCGCCCTTAGTCACCCCCTCGGCCAGGCTCCAGCCCCACAGATACCTCTCCCTGTACACTTGCAAGGTCCCCCTGGTCCACAGAAATACTGCCCATTGATCCTCACACCCACAGCCTCCCTGTGGCACCCCCAGATCCTCGTGTTCCCCACAGACACTTACGATCACATCAAAGCGAGAGTAGAGGCCCACGACCTGTCCTGTGGGGAGGGTGGGGAGGCGAGAGAAGGGCAGGGAAGGGTTCAGATCAGAAGCAGGATGTCGTGCAAGGGCCCGGGGCAGGCTTTTGGAATGAGCTCTTCCACCTCCACCACCACCCCCCACCCCCGCCCTGTCTGCTGGCTTTATAATGAGGCCTCAGGCTGCCACCACCAGGACCCATGGATCAAAGTTAGCAACACAGCGAGAGAGACAGCGCGACATCATGCCTCCTGATGTGACACGGTGAGTATGCCACGTCACCCATGAAATACCCTAGCCTCAGATGTATAGCCTGCGTCTGATCCAGCCTTGAGGTCTAATTTCTGGTTTCCAGGAAACAGGAAGAGAGGAACAAGGTAAAGCCACCTGTGACAAATCTGGAGGTGAGACAGCCCGTAGGACACCTAACCCCAGCTTCCATCTCCTCAATGTCGGGAAAATTAAGCAAGGGGGGAAATTGTTGAGATTAAAAGAGGCTTAAGAGAAGCATATAAAAAACATGACCCTTCGTTAGATCCTGGTTTGAACAAATGAACTGTGAAAAAAGATATTCTTGGGAGAAAGTGGGGAAATGAGAATAAGGATTAGATATTGATAACATTAATAAATTATTTATAGTTTTGTCAGGTGGTATGGGAAATACACTTATTTTAAGAGATGCAGACTGAAGTGTAAGGGGTGAAATGACTGTAATTTACTTTAAACTACTTCAGCAAAAAAACCCCAAAAACTGGTTATAGTAATATATTAACAGTAGTTAATCCAGGCAATGGAAATGTGGGGTTCATTACATATTTTATATATATGTATATTATACATTTTCCTACCATTTTCATCCATTTGAAGTTTCTTATAATAAAAAATAGATTACAAAACTTCTTGGTATCTAGCTTCGTGGTGGCGATTTTAACTCTGGAATAGTTTACAACCACAGTTCAGCCAAAGAAATTATCTTATAGGCCCTCTCGCCCTGTTTCACAGCAAGAAATTGAAGTCTAGCTGGGTCCCATGGCCCATTTTAGGGTGAATTAAAATTAGAATCCTCATCTGCTGTTTCCTCTCGCCATGGTCGTTTTATTGCACACAGTCCTTTTAAATAACCCTGTGAAGTCAGAGGATGCGTGTTGTTAAGATCCCCATTTCACAAATGAGGAAACTGAGGCACAGGGAGGCTATGTAGCTGGTCCAAGGTTCCAAGCAGGCAGAGACTTCTAGCCCTGAGTCTACCCCGGGCCCCAAGCTGATGCCACATAGACCCCTGCTCCCCACCGCCCCACCCCAGCCAGAGCCCCCGTCCTGGGTGCGAGTACCCTCTTCATTGACCACAGGCAGCGCAGAGACGCGCCGGTCCACAAAGATGTCCAGTGCGGTCAGGAGGGGCGCTGTTTCCAGTACCACGGCCAAGTCTCGGAATGTGCCGATGCCCAAATCCTGGATGGTGCGGGAAAGGAAGGAGGGCTGGGGCAGCAGGGTGCCCTGCTTGGGTGGGGGACAGGCGGCATCAGGGGGGAGCAGCCCCCAGAGGGGTCCCAGCTGCTCCCTCCCCAACCCCCAACCCCTAGGTCCGAAACTTCTTGGCCCTTCATGTTGCCCTCCGAGGCTGCGCCCAGGCTCACAAAGATGTGCAGGAACTTGAGCAGCCGCTTGTGTGTGAGGATGTGGAGGACGGCGCCCGAGACCGGGTCCAGGACTGGCAGGCGGTGGATCCGGTTCTTGATGAGGGTGTAGACGGCTTCGAACAGGCTATGGAGGTGGGAGCAATGAGACTGGGGCAGCCTGGGGAAAGATGCCCTCCATCCCAGCCCCCTAGGAAGGAGAACAGGATGCCAAGGCTGCCTGGTCTCCAAGGATGAGGTGGTGAGCTCGGAACTGAAGGGCTGGGGAAGGGACTGTGCTGGTGGGCGGCTGGGGGTGTCTACCTGTCGCTGGGAGAGATGGAGACCAGAGGCTTGAAGCAGCCTTGAAGATAGATCTCTGCAGGAAAAGCTGAGTCAGCCCAAGGGAGCTGGCCACCCCGCCTCACCTGGCAGCCCCCAGACTGTCCCACCTCCCTCAGGCTCCCTGGGCTCCCTCTCACCCTTCCCCTGCTTCCTCTAGGCTTTCCCCATGCTCACCCACACACCCTCCGTCCCTTTCCAGGTCCCCTCTGCCTGCTCACCCCTCCAGGTCTCAATCTTATGTTCTTCAATCTCATAGATCTGGACCTAGAAGCATCGACAGGACTCCAGAAATCAGATGTGGGCCCCTCTGGCAACAGGCTCCATGAACCCCGCCCCTCTGTCCCAGCTGAGATGGGTGCCCCCAGGACTCCCAGCCCACTCCTCACCAGGGGAGACCTGTAATAGCGATGCAGCACCAGGATGAAGTCCGTGATGGTCAGCATCCCTGCGGGGTTGGGAGGGGGAGGGACAGGGCGTCAGCCTGAGGGCCAGACCCTGCCAGTGTCCTAGCTCTGAGCCAAGAGTGGGAACTGTGGAAAGAGGAGAGAAGGGCTGCCCTCCCATGCGTGAGAAATGGGGTTCTCCTTTGCACACTTCCTCTGTAATTTCTCTCCTTCCCCACCTTTCCCATCCTCCTAATTTCTTCCTCTCCCTTTCCTCTTTTTCTACCTAGCACCTACGACATGGGACCACGGGGTAGTACAGCTGGTCACAGCTCTTCCACAGATGGGGTTTCCCAGCTGGCCACCACCAGATGGGAATCGAACATTCCCCTACTCTGGCTCCTGAATTGGCTCAGCCTGAGGGTCTGCTCAAGCCTGCGGGGCATCAGAGCTCGGCCCCAGAACCGTCTCACAGGGTCCCTCCTTTCCCTTCCCCCCCACCTCCACCTCCCCAGCCCTTCCTCACCCACAAAGCTCTGCTTCTTGCTGTCCCACAGAGGTGCCGCCCGGACGCCGTTGGCCACCAGGGCAAAGAAGGCCTTCTTGATCTGAGGGCCAGGGAGAACAGCGGAGGGTGAGTCTGTCACGGCCCCTCAGTGGTACCCTGTCCCACCCAGCGTCCTTCCATGGGGACTTCCTGGAGTCCTCGACATGAGCGTGCCTACCTTTCTCATCTCATGGCACCCTCTAGACATGATCCTTGTCATGCACATTTGCGACAGAAATGAGGCTGCTGGGGGCCAGAGGCACTGAGCTGACCCCCTCCAGCAGGCACACCAGGGTGTGGGAAACTAACTCAGTATTCCCACTCGGAAGTCATGTGTATACAATACAGACACAACACCGTAGTTCTTGCTAATCTAAGTACTAGAGGTATAATTATTCACATTTTTGTTGTTGTTAATGCCATGGAGTCGATTCCGTCTCCTAGCGACCTTGTGTCCGGCAGAGTGGAACCCTGCCTGGTCTTTTTGCGCCACCCTCTCACCTGGCACTCTATCAGACAGTGTTCTGCTGCTATTCACGGGGTTTTCATGGCCAAGTCTTTTCAGAAGTGGGTGGGAAGGTTCTTCTTCCCTGTCTGTCTTAGTCTGGAAGCTCCACTGAAACCTGTCCACCATGGGTAGCCCTGATGATATTTGAAATCCTGGTGGCATAGCTTTCAGCATCACGGCAATATGCAGCCGTCACAAGGTGACAGCCGACAGATGGGTGGTATGGTTCCCTGACCAGAAATGAACCCGGGCCACAGCAATGAGAGCGCCGAATCTTAACCACTAGACCACCAGGGCTGGCAATTATTTACGTAATATTTACAAAATCTTTTTCCCTTACATTGACTCATTTTAGCCTCATCCTAAGCAATACTATCTATCCATGCTGGTTGTATTTTTCTAATACATATTAAAATATGTATTAGAGCTCCAAAAAGAAATCATTTGTTCATATGCCACTACCGTCAAATCTTGCCCTGTGGACGATACATAGGCCATGCTTTGGGAAACACTGCTCTGCCATACATGATAAGAACGGAATCAGACATTTCGTAGCTCAGCCTAATGGAAGAGCAGGGACCAGAGATCATCCTGTTTTTCTCTTACCCAGAGTCCCAAGCTCCTTGGCCTAAGTCACCCTGCAACATCTTCCATGTATTCAGGGCTTCACAAAGTGCTCCCACTTATCCTGGGTTGTCCCAGGAGTCTTCTGAAACTTGTAGGGCAAAGCAGGCATTCCTATCCCCATTTTTGAGATGAGAGAAGTAAAGTAACCCACCCAAGATGCTACACACACTAAGTGGCAGAGCTGCAGTGACAATGAGGGGGTGCTCACAGAGAATAGAAGCCCTCCCCACACTGGTATCCATGACGCTAAGGAGGAGTCCTGGAAGGGTCTTGCAGGGAGCCTGGCCTGGCAGGGCGTCCTGGAGGGTGTGAGTGGTGGCTGCAGGGCTGTGAGGATGGAGATGGGGTGGAGCGGCGGCCTCACCTCCAGTGTGGTGTCGAAGATGACCAGCTTGGAGCTGGTTGCCATGGCATCATAGCAGGTGTGCTCCTGCATGAAGTGCATGTAGACTTGGGCCCCTGGCTTCTGCAGCTCGTCGTCCCAGCCCAGCCTGGGTAAGAGGGCCCGCGGGGACGGGTACCGGGCAGGCGTCTCTTCCACCAGGCCGAGCTCACACCCCCAGCCTGCTGTGGCTGAGAACTCTATGCCCAGGTCCAGATCATCTGTGCTGGAGCCAGTGGATGAGGATGCACAGTCACTGGGGAGGATGCCCCTTTCTGGTGGTGGAGTGTCTACCCCGGCCAAGGGAGCAGCTTGGGCCAAGGGTGTGGCCTCGGGGAATGTGGCCTCCAGCCCGGTGGATTCAGCAGCCGGCCTGGATTGGGGACCTGTTCGGGAGGAGAGGACAGTAACTCCATCTTCCAAATAACTCTCTCATCTACTGTCTTGGTTCATCTTCACAGCAGCCTTGGTAACCTGGATGCTGCGGCCTCCATTTTGCAGCTGAGTCTCAGAGAGTCACACAAGATAGTGGCTCTGTCCCATCTGTCTGAGTTGGCCATGCTGGGTCCCTGGCTCTGCAAGGCAGTTGACCTTTCCCACATGGGGAGACTGAACCTCAAGTCCACAAGATGCGAGTTGGGTCCGACTCTGTATGGAGGGACCCTGGCCCCAAGCTCCTGCTGCCCCTGCTCCCATCTCCCCAGAACTGGCCTTGGTCTTACCTTCCTCCGGGCCTGACAGCTCCTCTGCCTCCACAGCCTTTTGCTTTGTCCAACTCAAGGCCTCGGGCCCCTGTGTTCCATGGCTTCTTTCTGAACTGGCGGTCATGGCTGGTGATGGCCATGAAATGCTATCTCCTTGCTCTAAGAAGCTCATCTCTGGAAGGGGGAATGGGGCCTGTTTGGTTAATAGGGAGTGACACAACAAAATCAATTAAAGTGTTATTAATAATAATAATTAATATTTGCAAGCTTCCAAAGGTTTTTTCTCCAACATAATTCTCATTCAAACCTCATAGTGATCTTACAAGGGAGGCATTATTATCATCCCTATTTTGTTATCGAGGGACCTGAGGTCGGAGAGATTAAGAAATTTGCCACAAATTACACAGCTAGTAGGTGATAAAGCCAGGACTAGGGTCCAAGTCTTCAGACTCTAGAGCTCCCCTCTCTTCTCCTGAAAGAGGAAGGAGGAGGCGAGGAGGAAGAAGAAACAAAGAAGGAAAGGAGAGGAAGACAAAAGGCAGGTTCATGGAGTAGGGGAGATTGGGGGCCCAGAGAAGGGGGACAAAGGAAGTGGGAGAGGAGCTGGGCCTATGAGGAGGAGGCAGCCCCACTTACCTTGATGCTCGGGTCCCCCCAGGTCGCTCCAGGATGGGGTCTGTGGGGAGACGAATGTCTGAAGGGGTGAGGAAAATACCTTCCACTCCCAAACCACAGGTCCTTCTCTCCCCACCGTGCAAACACACACACACACCCCCACACACATGCATATATACACACCCCCCCATAAACACACCCACACCCATACACACACCCCACAAACACACATAAACATACACAGCCATACACAAACACTTACACACTCAGAAACACAGATTCAACCATTAACAGACACATGCAGAACTGTAGACACTCACTTAAAGAATATACACACACAGGCACTCACACGTTCACATACGCAGAGAAAATCCAGACCAAACTCACACACACACGCATGCTTTCACATGGCCTGATGTGCTCTTGATCTGCTGGCCTCGGCTACCCGGCTCTGGCCCCCTGGGACCCCGTACCCTGCATAGTGCGTGCTCCAGCTCGGGCTCCATGCAGCCAACCGGATCCACAGAGAGCAAGTGTGCGACACTGTGGCTGGGCAGCACTATTCTTGGCCCTGCCCCTGGCACCCTGCCCTTCCCGGATCGGTTTCTCTCTGATTGAGTGTCAGACAGCGGGAGGGAGGGTCCAGCCACTCAGCTGCTCCAGACCAGCAGTGGGGGGCAGGGTGGGGTGGGAAGGGGCGCACCTGGCATCTCCATGCCTGGTCCCAGGCTGCCTGCTGGGTCTCTTGGGAAAAGTGAGAAGGACCCTGCTGTGGGGGAGGCGGCTTGGAGCTTCGCGAGGGCCCTGGGGTGGGAGCAGGAGCCTCTCAGGGTCCTGGGTTCCTTCTCCGAGGGCTTCTCATCTCCGTCAGGTGCCACAGGAGCCAAAGCGGAGGCAGACCGAGCTTCGGAGGTTCACTTTCTTCCCTACCAACTTCAGTTGTGGGTGGCGCTGGAGTTAGAAAGGGCGAGTTGCAGCCAACTAGGAGAGTGAGGAGATGGGGCGTGTGGGTGGTCCTGGGACAGTGGCCAGTGTGTGTCCAGATGTCCCCATTTCAGTCCCAGAAGCATGTCCCTCTCTCTGGTGGAGGAGTTGGGGTGGGATGGTCCAGGCAGGTGGGCAACTGTGAGGGTCACCTTGAAGGTGTGCGGTGGGCTCGAGGCTCGGGGCCTGCACTTGTCCACAAAGATCCACCCGTTTCCACCTGTGGTTTGGAGGCAGGTCCAGGTGTGCAGGAGCCGCAGTTTCCCCACCCCGCGGTGCGTGCCGTCCCAATATCTGCTGGTGCCAACAGGATCCCAGGCCGGCTCCGGAGGCTGCCCACCCCCCTTCCCTGGCATTCTTGGGGCCTGAGTCAGTGTCCAAATCAGGAATGCTGCTGACCCAGCTGCTCCAGCTCCCCTCTCTCTGCCCCTCCCTTCCTCTCCTCCTTCCAGCCTCTTCCATCTCAGGCTCTGGCCCTGGAGTGGACACTCAGTAATGAATTACTGGATTTCTCACTGAATTTATTGAACATATTTTCCATCATCCTCAGAGCCCTTGTCCTGTCTCTGGGGAGGGTGGGAAGGAATTCAGCTTTGCCCTGTGTATCTTGGCTAGTGCGTGGGTGAATGCAGCCCTCCTTCCACAGCATCCCTGTGGCCTGTTCCTGCCTGGTCCCAGATGATGGGCCTTCTAAGGCACAGCTCATGGGACAGTTCAAAGGTGGAAAGATCAAGTGAATCATCCCGGAGACAGGCAATGCGTCAGGCCTGGAAAGCCCCCACCGCCAGACACAGAACAGACTCAGCTCACACGATGGCCTTTCCTGAGACGCTCAGTTCTCCCCTCCCCGCCCAGACATGTTCCACCTGCAGGGCCAGCAGCGGGGGCTCCTCTTTCAGAAAGCCTTCCCTGATTGTGTCACCCTCACTGCATGCATCTCACGTTCCGTGCACACGTCTCAGTGTACCCCGGGCTGGCATTTACATAACTATTCACGTTCGAACATGTTTTATCTCTAAGTAAACAGTGGGCACGTTGCTGACCGAAATATGTTGGCCGGATGAGATGGAAAGCCTGTTTAGGGGTCAGTTGGGCCTGATTAAATTCAGGCTCTGAAGTTTGCTTGCCATATGACCTTGGAAAGTGTTGATTGTTTTCTCTGAGCCTGTTTCCAAGAACGTAAAACGAGGATAAAAACATCCTGTGTCAGAGTTTGCCAGTTGCCTCCCGGTATCTATTTTTCTCTCCTTCCTTGAATTGCTTGGAATAGCTGCCTATAATAAAGACTTACATTCCCAATCTTCGTTACAGCTAAATATGGCCCCATGACTAAATTTGGCTGATGCCATGTGAGGGAGAGTGATGTGAAGAACTTCCACATCAGGCCTTAAAAGAAAGAGGTGTGAATTCCCCCCTTCCTTTTCCCTTTCTGCTGGCTGGAATGCGAATGTGATGGCAGGAGGTAGAGCAGCTATCTTGTATCTTGTATCTTGTAGCTATCTTGTATCTTGTATCTTGAAGGATGCTTGTTAAGAGTTTCAGAGTCACCCTACCAGGTTTAGACTGTCTACAGAGTGCTGTATGAGAGAGAAATAAACTTTCTTGCTTAAGTCATTCTTAAATTGGGTTTTGTTACAGCAACCAAACAGGCATCCTAACTAACACAGAATTTGGCTCTGGAAGTGGCTCTGCTTTAAAGGCTTAAACAAGTGGTATTGGTTCAGAGACTGAACAGCAGGTAGCAAAGAAAAATATTGTATGCTGGTAAACTGGTGGCCAATGTTATGTCATAGCAAAACATAAGGCGCATCTGTCATCTATGGTGTCTTCCTAACAGAGCCTGTACCTCACAGAAAAGGAAGCACTCAGACAGTTGGCGTGACGGCTGCTGCTTCCCGCTACTAGCCAAGTCCTGCAAGCGAATGCGCTCAGGCTGGTGGTAAGAGGTGGTTTGCAAGAGGCGGCCTTAGCAAGGGCTGTTCCTGTGGTCCCACACCTTTCTCAAGCACATCTGTTTAGAGACAGTGGGAGCCAAACCAGCGGACAGAATAGGGGCGGTCCCTTCAAAGCCAAGATTAATTTCTCAGGTGGCTTGAAGAGAACCACCGGCAGTTGGAAGGAGGAATAGAAAGTTCACTAAGTCCAGAGTATTCAAGCGTGAAGATTGCGTTTCTACGACACCATTGGCTGTGGTTGCTCAAACATGGGAACAATCAGGAGCCTTCTAAGATTTCGAGGATGTTGTACTGGCAAAGAAACCACAAACCTGGTCCACAAAGCCTGGTTTGGCCCCCGCAGTTACCCCCAGCACCCCAGATCTGCACCAGCAGGAAGAAGGTGGTGAAAGTTGTAAAGTCTGCTAGGACGGATGTGGTCTCTGGTGCAGCCCCAGAGGATCGTGGGTAAGGAATAACTTCCCAGGAGGCCATGACAGAGGCCACATAGGAGAGTAGGAAGGAGAGGTCCCCCCAGAGAGCAGAACCAGGGGTGGCCAGATGTGCAGCCCAAGAACTTACTCCACTGCCGGCAAGAGGATTTGCAATTCCTGCTCAACTGGGCTTAGTAATTGCTAAGATCCAGTGACTGCCGGGGGATTGCCATGGATTGTAACCAAGTTTATTTATCCTGTTCCTCCTCCACTGGTGTCTATGGGGAGTGGGAGGGCCAGACTACCTGCCTTTTGGCTTATCGGTCTCCAGAGCATGAGGAGCCCACCCACACCTGGTCCCTCAGAGATCCAGGGCTCTGAGCTGTGCTGTGTCTGGATGGAACCCTGACTTGTTCCCCTTTGACGGATGCTAAATGCGTTCCTTGTGAGGGGTGGCCAGACGGTGGGCTCTGGCAGAGCATGTCTGTTCTCTCCTTCTTCCTCTACTGGTAAATCTCCCCATATTTTAGCTAAGAGCAAGATTATATTTCCCAGCTTCCTTTGCAGATTGTATGGCCATGTGACTAAGCTTGGCCAATGGGATCTGAACAGCAACATTATATGCAAACTTCAAGGGTGCCCTTACAAGGAAGGGGCAAATCTTCCCCTTCCTACTGACTGGAATTATGATATGATGGCAGGAGCTGGAGCAGCCACTTGAACCTAAGGGTGGGAGATGCAAGTTAAAAATGATAGAAGCTCCCCGACTCGCATGCTGGCCTGCCTACCTCTGGACTGTTATGGTAGAAATAGAAATAAACTTCTAGCTTGCTTAAGTCACTGACAAATCGAACCTTTGCTACAGTAGCCAAACCTCTTGCTAACTAATGTATTTACTTTGCAGCATGGGAGTAGTGTTCGAAATTACATATGTATATGATGATATATTGCTTAATATCTACCAGACACTCCAAAACACGGTGTGTGCAGTATCCCACGTGATCCCTCACCGCTCTAGCTGTCAATACTTTCATTAGTATAATTTTACAGATGAAAAAATTGAGGCCCAAAGAGATTTAGTAACTCGATCAAAATCTCAAAGCTGGTGAGATGGAGCCGAGAGTCAAACCCAGTGCTTCTGGACTCCAGTGCCACACTCTTAACCACTGAGCTTAACGTCAATAAAGGACAGGCCTGGCATGTGCAATATGCTCAGTAAGTGGTTCCTATAATTGTTACCTTGCCACCTGCTTCCAGGCCCCCTAGACCTCCAGCTGCAAGGCCCTGACTCTTCAATATCCAGCCCATGGTGGCTTCAAGGGTGGGACGGAGGGCAGACACAGGGCTGCTCTCAACACTAAGGCCATTGTGACATTCTAGTTGTAAAAAGGAGCTCTCTGTCCTGCCCTTGCCCTTGGCCTCTCAGAGCTCCGCACCTGCTCTTGCAGCCAGCCCGGCCCTACTCATCCTCTTTGGCAGGGCGAATCAGCAGAAAGTACTGGCTTTGGTTGGGAAATAGATACTCCTTGGGTGTTTGATTTTAGTCTCTGGTTAGGGTATCATATTTCTTGAAACCCTACTTCTTGGCTCGCTCTCAAAACTGGGTTGTAATAAGGACACTGCACCCTGACCCCAGGGTGAATTTGGCTGTCGTCTCTGGTTAGCCAGTTTGTCTCGGACATGGGGTCAGGATCCTGTTTAAGTGTTATTTTTATATCAGAGGGAGAAAAACAGCTTACGGAGGCTGAGGGGGTAGCCTGGAGGAGACCCATGACTGATAAGTCACAAACGGTGTCCCCTATACCAGAGTGGTTGGAGGCTGTGAGAGCAGCCCTCATGTCGGTTACGCAGACATCCAGCTCCCATCGTGTCTGTGTGTGGCTGAAGCTGAGCGGCATCTCTGCCTGTGTCCCGAGGACCTGGACAGAACCAGCACCTTATTAATGTGAGGTAGTCTAGTCCCGAGGCCTCATCACCGAGCCTCGTTCTGTGAGCTGTTGGAGATTAAAGTGGACACATGGTGTTTTGTGTACTCAGTATCCATTTTACACCTCTTTTGGAGAACCCTCAAATTTTCTTTCAGAGAACCACAATTCCTCTAATCTCAGAGTACATGATTTTCAGAGAAGCTTAACTATGGCTTCCAGGAACTATACCTCTGAGTCAGACTTAGTCAATCAGGACATCAAATTCCTCTGGCCGTGGTGAGGACAGCATTAACTGGATGAGTCCAATAGGGGTGAATCTGGAATTTTTGCTGGAGCTCATGGAAACTCTTTCCCACTGAATTTGGAGCTGTGAGGATGTATGTGGAAATTCTGCTACCATGCAGAGTGGAGCTGCCTAAGAATGAAGAGAAAACAGAGGGCAAAAGAACTTTAATATGATGAGAAAGACCAGGTCCTCCTGATAGTCAATGAGCCCCTGGCTCAAACCGTACCTGAAGACTTGCCACTGGGTTTTTCAGTTACATTAACCAATAGAATCTTTTTTTGTTTGTTTGTTTAATGCAGTTTGAATTGAGTCTTCTGTCACCTGCAGCTGAAAGAGTTCTGATAAGAGAGTTGACAAAGAGACAAGACTTAGACACCTTTAAACGCTTCTGGGTGTGAAATGCAGTCACTACACTTTCCCAAGAAAAAGTGCACATTTGAAAAAGCAATTAGAGTAAATCAACAGGGCAAAATGCTACTTGGAGAAAATACAGTAAAAGAAGAATTGGAATGGGATGAGATTAATGAAGGAAAGCTTCCTGTAGAAGGTGAGTTTGGATAGAGAAATAATAATCATGACAACAGCAACTATTTACTATTTACCCTAACTATGTGCTGGGCACCAGGTTAAGCAGTTCCCACATGCAGTGGGATAATACTCTGAAATAATAACCAGATTAAGGGGTACTTCCTTGTACCCTAAAGCCTTGTTCTCACTCAAGCTTGGAGTTTCCTTGTTTGTGGCCTCAGGGAAGAAATGATACAGTGCAAAGAAGAGCATCTTCTGGCTTTTGAGTTTCAAAAGTGAGATATTCTGGGAGGAAAGAGACTACCTTTGGCTTAAACAAAAGCTTTGGGAGTTTTGGCAGGCTAGGTTATTCAGAAAACATATTCCAGTAAAAACAACTAAAAATGCTGGATAAAGTATAAAGAGCATCTTCTTAAAAGCACTGAAAAGGGGCCAGCCTGGTGGCACAGAGGTTAAGTACACACGTTCTGCTTCGGTGGCCTGGGGTTCACTGGTTCGGATCCCGGTTGCAGACACGGCATGCTGTAGTAGGCGTCCCACATATAAAGTGGAGGAAGATGGGCAAGGATGTTAGCTCAGGGCCAGTCTTCCTCAGCAAAAAGAGGAGGATTGGCAGATGTTAGCTCAGGGCTAATCTTCCTCAGGGAAAAAAAAACAAACACTGAAAAGACAAGACAGTAAATACTAGGTCCAACTGAAAGGAAAATGGGCACACAGTGAAGTTAGTGAGAAAAGAAGTGGCTTTGATCTAGGGCATCTTCCAATTCTAGCAAGAGCCGTGTGGGGTGATGGGGGCCCAGGACCCACACAGGTTGGAAATATGACATTGGGAGTATGATAGGAGATCCCATCTACAGAAAGCTGGGATCTCACAGGACCACAGCCTCAGAGTAGGTGTAATCCAGAAGCAAATGAGCTCTTACACAGATTTACAGTGAAGGTTTTCCAACCCGCATGGTTCAGAGAGTGTCAACCTTGAACTTGGCTGAAGGTGGTCCCAAATCAGTAATGACCCCATGTGCCTGGCAGAAGCAAACACAGACGTTCTCTGGAGAAAATCACCTCTTCCAAAGCCATAAATTATCTCAACAGCATCCAGCACATAGAAAATAATTAGATATACAAGGAAACTAGAAATGGTAAGAGTCAGCAGAAAAGATGGGTAGCAGGAATAAACCTGTAAAAACTCCAGAAACTAGAATTATTAGACACTTGATATATAACAAATGCTTATTGTGTTCATAAAATAGGAGAAAAGTTTGAAAAAGAATGGAGCGACTAAGAAACTATAAAAAGTAGCATAAAAGATTTTTTTTAAAAAGCAAACAGAACTTGGGGCTGGCCCCGTGGCCGAGTGGTTAAGTTCGCACGCTCCGCTGCGGGCGGCCCAGTGTTCCGTTGGTTCGGATCCTGGGCGCGAACATGGCACTGCTCGTCAGACCACGCTGAGGCGGCGTCCCGCATGCCACAGCTAGAAGGACCCACAACGAAGAATGTGCAACTATGTACTGGGGGGCTTTGGGGAGAAAAAGGAAAAAATAAAATCTTTAAAAAAAAAAAAAAGCAAACAGAACTTCTAGAAATGAAAAATACACAAGTGAAAGTTAAAACTTAATAAATGAATTCAACAACAGATTATATGCAGCTGAAGAGAAAGCTGAATGTTAGCTAAGAAGTTACCCAGAGTGTAACACAGAAAGTTAAAAAACATGTAAAGTACATATGAAAGAGTAAGAGACTTAGAGGTTAGAGCACAAAACTCTAAAACATATTTAAATAGAGTCTCAGAAGGAGAGTAGAGAGACAAGGGGCCAGAAACACCATTTGAAGAGATTGGTGATATTTTCTGGAGTCGATCAATAATAACATTCCCTAAATTCAAGAAGCCTATGAATCCCCAAGAGGATAAACAAAAGAAGCCCACAACAGAGAAACATCGTGCTGAGAAGCAGAGAAAGCCAAAGACAGAGAGAAAATTTGAAAGCAACCGGGAAAAAAAAGAGATTACTTTCAAAGAAATGACCATTTAATAGCTGACTTGTCAATGGAAAATGGAAACCCAGAAGACAGGAGACCATCTTCAGTGTGCCGAGAGAAAGTGACTTCCAACTTATAATGTTATAGGCAAAGAAAATTTACAAAGAAGATAAAAAATGTATTTTATGACAAATGAAAACAGACAGTTCATCACCTCAGTAAAGGAAATTTCTAGAGAATACGCTTCAGAAAGAAGGAAAGTGATCTGACGTAGTATATCTGAGACCTGAGAAGGTATAGGCAACAAGGAGAGTGGCAAAAATGTAGACCAGTCTAAATGAATCATAGTTGCAAAACAAACACAAGAATTGTAATGTCCTGTGGGGTTAGAATTAAAATACTGCCAACCATAATATATAAACCAGGGGTGGTGAAAAATGGAGAATTTAAAGTATTTGAAAATCCTTGTATTATCTGGGAAGAGGAAAAGGTTTTGATTAACTTTAGATGTTGACATATTAATCATGCATGCTGTAATGTCTGGAAAAAGTACTAAAAGAATAGAAACAGAATTAGTCATAAAAGAAGGAAGAAATGAGAGAAAAAGAAACAACAGAATAGGTGGGAAAAACAGAAAAGCACAAAAGATTTAGGAGAATAAATATGAATTAGAATGAGACTTCTCCAGCCCTAAGACCCCAAGAGGACATAAAGCTCTCTTGGTTTGGCAGGAAGAGAAGGAACAGTTCGGAAGCAAGAGTGAGCAGATGTGGGTCCCTGAGGAAGGAGAGCCCTGCCCTCTCCCACTGGCTGGTTTGTAGGATCTGAGAGCAGAGGCGGTCTGTGCCTCACTTGCTGGATAGAATCCAGAGTAGAAAGGGTTATATGGTATATGTGGGGAGATAGGTCCTTAGATCACCTTACAGAGTTTCCCCAGGTCCAGCAAGGTAAGGGAGCAGCAGAATGATCCTGGCACCCAAGAGCAATGCAGGAGGAGACCAAGTCTTTGAAAATCATATGATGTTTCCTTTGACCCAGTATAGCACCCATGCAGCAAGAATGTTTATTGTGTGCCACAAAGTGGGACAGAAGAGAGAGAGAGAGCCGACGGGAATGAAGAACAGCACAAGAGCAACCAGTATGGAGCATCAACTGAGGATCACAGGGTTTGATGGTTGCCTGGGTGGAAGTCAGTATGGACGGATGATGACTGAGGACCAAATACCCGCTCTCACACCCCAAACTCAGCCTTATGTAAGTACCCAGGAACTTAGACACAACCCTAGTGAGGGGCCCCTGAATTAACCGAGTTTAAATTTCTCAGAGGACAGGCTGTACGGCCAGGATAATTTCAGGCACCAGTAATAGAAATCAATTCAAACTGGTTTAAACAAGATGGCAATTGATCGATTCACTTAACAGGACATCCCGGGACAGGCTGGGCTTCCAGTTGATTTAGTCCAGTGGCTCTGATATATTTTCCCTTGATTCTCCTAGCTGTGATCTCCTCGGGTGCCAGCTCCAAGTACAAAGACAGCAGCAGCAGTTCTGGACCCCTTGTTGATGCCCAACAACATCCAGGAGAAAAGGGACCATCTTTCCCTGTACTTTCTTCTAAGAAAAAGAAACATCTTCCAGAGCATTTGGCAAATTTCTCCCACACTGAGCCACATGCTCGTTCCAAACCAATCCCCATCACTGGAAGAATACAGGTTTGACTCAGACTAATCAGGGCTCATCTTTGACTGAGGTCAACTCTCCCAATTGCCTGGCTACCACAAAATGAGGGATAGAATGGACATTGCAGAACAACCACAATTACAGTCCTCCCCTTTACTGCCCAATATTCACACACACCCTCTGTGCTATGTTACAATCTCCGAAAAGCCAGTGCCTAATAAGATGCACACATGCCCTCTTAAGGAAGTACCACCCAAACTTCACCCAATCATGTATCCAGTGGCAAACCCAGGATCTCTGGGAGGCGTACAATCCATCAAGTCAATTACATGCACCTGGATTGAAAAGAAATCAGGCAGGAAATGAGGTGGTTGTTTCTTGTTCATGCATGAGCCTGGAACACTGAGTCTCAGTGCTCTCGTGTATTAAATGAGAATAGTAATGTCTGCTACGCAGGTTGTGATGCTGATTGAAAATAAAATAAAAAATGACAAAAATAAACCAATATGAGCTGTGCATATTCAAACCTCACCTGCTGATCATAGTAAATGCATTGCATTTGCAGCTGATATGCCGAGATCCTGGAGCTCAAAGTGATACCCCTTTGATTAGCACAAAGACCTGCTATTTTCCCCTGGGGTAACCTCCTCCCCCTAGTTCCTCCTAGGAGTTTGAGTATGTTCCACACATAGTTAGATCTGTCATGCTGGCTGCAGTCCCACTGTTCTCCTGCCCTCTGCATCTACTTCTTCAGATCAGCATATTAGCTATTTCAAAAGGGGCACCCACAGTTGAGCTGCTGGCCCTTACTGATACCTTTATTCTCTTCTATCACAGCCATCTCCTTCCCAGAGCCTCAGAGTGTGGAGTGGGGACTGGATGATGCTCAAGAACAGCCTCACTTCCCACCTGGATTCACAGCATCCTCCAACATCCCAGCCCTGCTGCCCAGTCCAGTCTCCTCTACCAGATTCCTTTTCTTTCTTTTTTTTTTTTTTTGCAGGGAAAGATTCACACTGAGCTAACACCTTTTGCCAATCTTCCTCTTTTTTTCCCCTCCCCAAAGCCCCAGTGCATGGTAGTATATCAGAGTTGTAAGTCGTTCCAGTTCTTCCATGGGAGCCGTTGCCACTGCATGGCAACAGATACAGGAGTGGTGTCATTCCAGGAACTGCACCTGGGCTGCCGAGCATTGACAGCACTGAATTTTAACCACTAGGCCATGAGGGCTGGCTCCAGATTTCTTTAACTTTGCCTCAGGGGCCCATTAGGATTCCCACCCATGCCCTTCCCTGTTCTACCTTCTTTAGGAAAGCCCAGTTCACCAGCTGCATATGTTTAAATGCCAATAATAGGCCAAATTCAAGTTTTCTCCTATAACGGCCCTGGGTAGCATGCAAACTTGAGTGGACATCTGTCCTAAGAAGTCCTAGTTCACCTAGAGGCCTCAGAGGACCTTTGAGAAGAGTCTGGGCCTCCACAGAGCTCCCGCTCTGTCCAGAGACGGCGCCACACTAGTGGTATGACTTTCAGCAGATCGCTTACTTTCTTCGAACCTTGATTTCCACGTGCCTAAAACAGTTAAAGCTGTGCTGACGGGGAAATTTGTAGCCCTAAATACTTACATTGGAAAAGGGCAGAGGAGGAAGATGGGAAAGATTTTTTTTAGTGAAGATATCCAGGACACATTGTTAAATGGAAAAAGCAAGATGCTATCTTTTGTATAAGAAAGGGGGATTGGAATATACATTTATATTGCTTGATTCTGCACAAAGAAACACTGGCAGGATACATGAAACTATAAAAGCGGTTACCTGTAGGATCTGGCAGAAAATGGGCTGGGGGATGGGGAGGTGAGAGAGTGGGTAGATGGGAACAAGGTGGGACTCAGATTTCATGCATATTTTTTTATATTGTCCTGATTTTTTGAACCTTATAATTTGTATCCATTCAAAATAACCAAGCATTTTTGTTAAAAAAAAATGTAAAGCATAAAGATAAAAGCAAATAAAAATTGTCCATAATCTTCCCACCAGATAGTCTCTGTTAACATTTAAAAAATAATAATATACGTACATTGTTAGAAATTTTCAAAGCAGTATAGAGAGGTATAAAATTGAAAAGCAAATCTCCCTTCTCATTGTCCCAAAGGCAGCAACTTTTAACAGTTTCTTGCGTTTCCTTCCAGAAATTTACTTATTTATAGGATTTATGCTGGTGCATAGTTCTTGTTTTCTTCACAAATAGAGTGTCTTGACTCCATTAGTATATGTAGAGAGCTTATATTTTATGATAAGTATTTGCTATAATCTAGGTAATTATTTCTCTATTGATGGATATTCAGGTTGTTTCTAGTTTTTTTTTCTTTTACTATTACCAGTCATGTGCGTAATGAGCTGCCTTGTTTAAACATCTTGAAATGACAAATTAATTTTGAACTTAGGTGAGGTAAAAATAATGCATTTTAGTCAGCTGTAGAACGTGATAGTTTCCCATGATGCTACATTTCTTGAGAGAGAGAGAGGCGGTCTAATCTTCATCCCCCACCACAACGGAGGCCCCCAAGGGAAGGTGGTGCTGCAGTGGAATGTTGCTTTTAAATACAGCTGGTCTCTAATTGCTTTTAGCCCGGAGAGGTAAAGTGCCTTGCCCAGAGCCAGAGCCAGAGCCAGGCTGGGACACCGCCCGCCCTGTCCCTACACGGAGCTCTTTCTCCTGAGTAGTCCCGTCCCTCCAGTCGGTCCCTTGGGTACCCTATCTCTGTCGGAAGCTATCACTTGTCGGGTCTCACTGGGGCCCTTTGCGCCCTCTACTGGATGGTCTGAAGGTTGCCTCGAATCTGCCGCTTAGGGTCTGGTGCCCTCTGCTGGCTTTGAGTATTCCCCACAATCGTTAAAGGAGTGGGACCTGCGCTGAACTTTAGAGCTCACCCGTTCCCATCCCCGCTGTCATGTGGGGAAACTGAGGCAGCAAGCGGGGAAGTGACCTGCTTAAGAACACAAAACAAATAAGCTCGTCATCCCAGAATTTAGCCTTCTGACCCTTCTTCCAGCACCGTTGCCAGCACACCCTCGTTGGTTGGAAGGAATGAAGAAGACGAGGGGATGCCAGACAGGAATCCCAGGCTGGAGGAGTCCCCCTTCCATGCATATCTCCAGGAGCCCTCTGGAACTCCTCACCAGGCAGGGGGTCCCTGGGCTGGAAGGAACGAATGTTCAGCTGGACTCGCCCGCCGCTGTCCTCTGGGGCAGCGGCCCTACTGCCCTCTCTATGCCTCGCTTCTCCCCGCAAAGCATGGATGGGCTCAATAATGTCCCAGGCATAGGCCGTGCTTTCCCCAAAGCCATCATTCCCAGGCTCCTTCACGGATTTTGCCATATCTATGTACCAACCAGACTACAATTTACTTAATACTTTTCTTTAAATTGTCTTCTTTTATTTATTTTATTTAGTTTTTATTTTTAATTATTATTATTTTTTTTTGAGGAAGATTAACCCTGAGCTAACATCTGCCTCCAATCCTCCTCTTTTTGCTAAGGAAGACTGGCCCTGAGCTAACATCTGTGCTCGTCTTCCTCTACTTTATATGTGGGACGCCTGCCACAGCATGGCTTGCCAAGTGGTGCCGTGTCTGCACCAGGGATCCTGGTCAGCAAACCCCGGGCCACGGAAGCAAAACGTGCGAATATAACCGCTGTACCACTGGGCCGGCCCCTAAACTGTCTCCTTTTAAAAGTAAAGGCCCAAGGAAATGTACCCCCTCCCCTGGGTGATGACGCATAGATGCCTCTGGTCCCCTAGGAATTGTCTTTCAGTCCTGGTCACCTTCATTCACTGCAAGAAGGCTTGATCCTCACCCTGAATTCTTCACTTAAAACTATCATGGCCATACTGGGGGGTGAGAGCCTGGTATCTTTCAGACACTGACCCTGCTCTGTGTCTTCACCACGCTATTCAATCCTCCTTACAGCTCAGTGGAGTATGTATTCTTATCCTCATGGGAAATCGAGGCACAGACAGGCTAGTTATGTGCCCAAAGTCCCACAGTGGGTAAATTGTTGAGCTGAATTTGATCACTTTATTTCCAAAGCCAACTGGTGTGATCTTGCTTGTCTTTTGAGACTAAAAGGAAAATGATGCGAAGCTATAATGAAGAGATGACTGGGGCAGCGCTGGTGCTATGGAGGGACTGATTGCGCAGGGGGAAGGCAGATGGTGGACATGTGAGGACAGTGGGGCAGGCCGTGTTGTGATGGAGGCATGAACCAGGTGTGATATCCTAGCATACAGGGAATATGGGAGCATCAGAGACCCTGTGGGCACAAGTCCTGGGGTGCAGAGGGCAGGATGGAGTGGGTAAGTAGGGGCATTCTGGGTCCTGCCTTTCTGATGCCCCAGCAAATGCCATTGACCCTGATGGGTACGTTTCTGATTGCTTACTGGCCATGTAGTAACATTTTCTCTATGGGAGCTCTTCTCAACAGAGTGGCTCTGCCTGGGGCCTTCTCCTGGGGTAGCACTGGGCCACGGTGGGATGCGTAGAGGAAGATGGAGGTAAAGCTGAAGACAGAAGCACAGCTGGACTCCTAGCTCCACCACTCGGTGACTGTGACTTTGGCCTCAGTTTCCTCATCTGCCAAATGTCCCGCAGTAAACATGGAGATGCACCACCCAGGGTCCCCTTCGTGGAAGGGCTTGCTGCCTGGCTGTGGGGAGTGGAATCAGCAGACAGCCTCCAACCATCAGCTCCTTTGGAGTCAGCTCCAGAGAACACACTCTTTCCTTCTAGCAGCTGCCCGCATATCTGGAGACTGAGTGAGGCAGGGGGCAAATGTCGGGTCATTTCAACCCAGCAAGGGATCTTCCGGTGGGCAAAACTCCCTCCAGAGCTCGAGGCTCCAGCGCTGACCGAGGCTTTGTCGTGCCTGCATCACAGTCTCGCTTCTCCCTCTGCCCAACCCCGCTTCCATCCGTTTCCTTTCACAGCTGCTGATTGCAAATAAACCCCTTGCACCCCAAACTCTATCTCCGCTTCTGCCTCTGGAGAAGCCAATCTGTGACAGATCTGTTGTTTGCACCCAGGACAAAGGAGCCACCCTGCCAGCTTTGATGAAACGATGCTGGGTATGAATCCAAAATGTGAGAACTATCCCTTTCATGGGACCTACCTTCTGGCCCGTCCAAGATTGAGTTTTGGTGGCGGCACTGAAGGCAGTAGGAAGTCAGGCTGTGCGGTTCAGGGGCAGCCTCGCTGCGTGGTCTAGCTTTCGTAGAACCAGAGCAAATAACTTGAAGACCTAAGGGCTAAGGGACTATCAAGGGAGGCTTCTTTTTTAAAAGATTTAATTTTTTCCTTTTTCTCCCCAAAGCCCCCCGGTACATAGTTGTATATTCTTCGTTGTGGGTCCTTCTAGTTGTGGCATGTGGGACGCTGCCTCAGCGTGGCTTGATGAGCAGTGCCATGTCTGCGCCCAGGATTCGAACCAACGAAACACTGGGCCGCCTGCAGCGGAGCGCGCGAACCTAACCACTCGGCCACGGGGTCAGCCCAAGGGAGGCTTCTTGAGAGGAGAATGGCCCTGAGGAAGATGGCCAATATTGCAGGCCCTGCATCATTTTCATTTAGTGGCTCCACAGACATTTATTGAACGTATGTTATGTGCAAGACCTTGTGCCAGGAGACGGGAAGTTTGGCACAAAGTCTCAGGGAAGATCTCTGACCACGATGGCCCCAAGTGACATTCCCCAGCCCTATGAGCCTTGGACATTTCTCTAATCAGTTCCCTCATTATTTGATTTCTTTGCACTGAACAGCTGAAGTCTCTATAATAAAAACAAGCTTCAACCAAAGAGAAAATCAATAAGCAAAAAGCTCAAAATGCTTCTTCACCATTGAATAGCATCAAATGCTCCTCTGATCCTTGTTTCTGCATGCAGTTTCTACTCCATAGTCATT